TGATAATTTTTCAAACAGAAACCTGGCGACTTAAATATAAAAACTTGCAGAAAATTAGGAAAATGAGCGAACAAATCGGCAGTTGAAGAACTAATAAAGCAAATATTTTCTTACTAAATAATACCAAAGAGAGTTGCTTAACTAGACTCAACTTTGAGAGGGAATTTCTCGTAATCAAACACGCGCAGCCCCGCAATTCTAAGAAAAATTGCAACTTCGGACGCAAAACTTGAAAATTTGCCAAAAATTGCTCAAATTTGCATATCAATCGACACTCGCAGGATTCATAGAGCAATTTACTCCCTCTAAAATGAATGAAAAAATCACTTCCGAAATGCTCTCAGCTTTGAGTGATGAATTTTTAAACACTGCCGAACTTTGAGGGCCAAAAATTTGGAATACTAATCTCAAATGTAAAAAATTATTGCTGCCGGACTATTTAATAAAGAGAATGATTCTTTATTAAATGATTTTGTTTTGAGAGGCAAATTTTGAAATCAATCCCGCTCAATCTAAAGAAAGAAAAATTGCAATTTTAGGCGTCAAACTTGAAAAAATTCTCAAAATTGCAGAAATTTGTGAAAAAATTGACAGTCACCATACTTATAGAGCAATGAGGTCTCTGTTAAATGAAGTATAAAGCAACTTCCTGGCGAATCTCAATTTTTAGTGACGATTTTTTACCCGGAAGCCTGCCGACAACTACAACTACTAAATATAAAAAATTGCAGAAAATCAGTAAAATCTGCAAATCAATTAATAGTTGCACAACTAATAGAGCGAAAACGTCTTCATTAACCTGCTTAAACAGCAGCCTCTTAACTAATCTCAGATTTGAAACAGATTTTTTTAAATAAAAATCGCTATTTTACAGGATGAACTCAAAAATTTGCCAAAAAATGCAGAAGCAAGCGAGCAAATCCACAGTTGCAGGACTGATAGAGCAAAAGTTTCCTTATTAAATGGTACACACGAAAATACCCCAAGCTAGTCTCAGATTCAAGGCGGAAACTTTTAAGCCTACGCCGCCCAACCCGATGTACGAAGCCGTCGAACTTGAAAAATCGCCAAAATTTGCAGAAATTTCCAACCAAATCGCTAGTCACATAACTTATAGAGCAATGACTCCTCTATTAGCTAGACACAAAGCAACGTCCTGGATAGTTTCACTTCTGAGTGGTGAATTTTCAAACAGAACCCTGCTGACATTTAGGGGTGAGAATTGCAACTACAAACCTCAAATACACAAAATTGCAGAAATCCTGGAAAAAGTGCCAACAATTCGACAGTTGCAGCGCTAATAGAGCAAGGGCTTCTTTAATAAATTGCATAAAAAGAGCTCTTTAACCAGTCTCAGATTCGAGAGACGAGTTTTTGAATCCAACGCGCTCAACCTGTTGAACCATCATTTGCAACTTCGCGCGTCAAAATTTTGTTTTATTTTTAATTGAGACACACTAACAAACAATCGACATACTTATATATAAGACTAATACAGATAAGTTTCCTATAAAAAAAGCAAAATGGAGGTTTCTAGCTAGAGTCTATTTTGAGCAATGATTTTTTGAAGCGACACATTTTGAACTCAACGAAGACAGTTTTCAAATACAAATCTTATCATGAGGGGCGAAAATTTCCAATTGAGGAACCAACATTTGAATGTTTTTCTAAAGTGTTATAATCTAGACCTCTTTCCTCCAGAGTTGGCTTAAAATGTGTCTTCTATACCTCGATTTGGAAGAGAGCGCAAGAGTTATCGCATCCAAAGGAGTTTTATGGGAAATATTTCAAAATATGACTGCGCTCGGATTATTCCCGGATTAACTAATTAATAGCTAATCAAACCCTACCTGTACATATTACGATAGCGATATCGAGCAAAAAATAGAAATTACACATCTTATCGTAACTCAATTACTCCTGGAGATAAGAGCGTATGACGTACCTTAGTAATGATTTGCCGTTCATTTAGGTGTGAACAACGCTGTAGAATTTAAGAGATTAGAACAAATTGAGCGCATTAGAGGGATTTATGGACGAGAGTTTTAATGGCATAGGGGGTCAGTTAGTGTTAATTGTGTTGTGATACAAGGCTGGAAGGCTGCAGCCGCTGCTCTCGCTTAAGGCCCATCTGGTAAGAGTTTTCCAGACTACCGAGCTGTTTGCTAATTATTCATAATCAATCAATCAGACTGCACAAGTTTGAAGCCGGCAAAGTCATTTTTTGGTCACCCAATCTTAGTAATCAGTTTACTTCTTACAGAATTCCTCAACGCTTTGCTCAAGACTCAAACGTACCCATTTCGACTAATCCAATTGATCTTTTAATGGGCATTCTTGAAGCATCTTAAAGCGCTCCCAATATAGCTGAGCAAACAAATCTTAGGATATGTTTTCCTGATTAGATAAGGTCTTGAAACTTTAATCCACTATTTTGTCAGACAATAGCGTTGGACAGCCGCATAAATCAGGTTGAATTGTTCTAGTTCGCGGCAATTTCATTGTTGTCTTGGTTTTCTCAATTTCGCCAAATATATTTGTGATAGATATGTGCCAATTCATGCCGCTGTCGAATCGAAAATGAAACCGAAAGTCGCCGTTAAAATCGCAAAAACTTGGCCTTTCTGTTATGCCCCATTTGCAGGACGGAACGTGTCTGCCTGCATCAGGTAGCAACATTTTCTATCGACATATTCTATGCAAATCCCACTTTAGACCGTAACATTTCGAATTTATTGCACCTTTCATTTTGGTCGTCGACCGAATGGAAATAGTCATCCAACTAAACCCAAACAGGATGACGAATATTACTAATAATAATCATAATTGTTGCTAATTTAGAAACGTTTGACATTATTTCGTGCTGTTGATCTCTGGATTTACTGCACATACTTAAACTAGGCGTCAACAATTGTTGCCTATATTTGCGCTCAATCGGTGTGTTTTAGCGAATATTTTTATGGTAAATTTTTCTGGAAAATAATTTTTTACACACTTGTTTCCAATACTCTCAAATTTGTTTTATTTTGATAAAGTTTAACGCGTACTTATCCAGTTTCATTTCGATCTTGTCTGTATTGTTTTTATCTATAGCCACTTTATAATGTCACTGACGAATTTGATCGATTGTTTGCAGGATTTTCAATTCGAAATCTTTCTATGCTGCAATGGTTGACATTCACCTGCCTGCTAACTGTTATTATGATCTTTTAAACACGTACTTATAAAGGATTATCGGGTTCTTAAGAGGCGCATGAATAGCCAGAATTCGGGGATATTTGAAAAAGTGCTGAAATTTGCCATGAAGCTTTCGTATGCAGGTCAGCGTGTTCGACTGTTAGACAAAACTTAATTAGAATTAAGTAAATTAGATGATTGCTGCGGCGCACTACATATTTGTACTTTTTTTGCTGTTTCAAACTTGTTACTTTTTTCTAGGAGAATAAAGTGTAGACAGCAAGTTTTTCCATGATTTGGGCCGTGAAGTTTTTTTGTTTTATTTAAAAAGTGAAGAAATTAAAATGTGATATATTTTACGAAATTTGAAGCAATCTGCCAATTTCCGCCCCAAAATCCCCAAAAAATTTAATCTACCAGTTTTTTACGCTAGTTATTCACGAAAGGTTTAGACATTGACCAAGAAAACAAGACAGCATTTAATATGTTAACTGCACTGCTTTTTGTTTATCTCGTTTAAGAAAATCATCCAAATCGGGTCATCGACTGGAAAATTATTTGCAAAAAGTCACTCAGTCACATTTTTGCGAAGCATTATATTTCTAGAATCTGCCTTATTTTTGTACAAATGTGCAGATCCTCTAAAACTCAGAAATCCCAATATTTCTTTAAATTTCAACAACAACTACATTGTATATACTTTCCTGACTGTGTTTCAATTCCAAATCAAATCTATTCCTGGGTTTCAGTCATTTATTGTCTCTATTTATTAATCAAAATACGTTTCGGTGTATTTTTCCACCATCATCAGTTTTTATGTGTAGCG